TTTTTTTATATTTTTTATTATTTTAATTTTTTTCTAAAAAAAAATGAAGAAGAGGAAGTAGAAGAAGAAGAAGAATAAGAAGAAGAAGAATAAAAATAGGGGGAGAGAAAGAAAGAAAATAAAAGTTGAATAATTAATAAATAAAATAAAATAAAATAAAATAAAATAAAATAAAGAGAGAGAGAGAGAGAGAGAAAGAACAAAATTATCAATTTGAAATATTTAATTCGTCTCATTGTTATTATTTTATTATTTTCTATATACGTAACACGTTTCTCTCGTTGCATTAATTATTATATTTCATTTTTTTTTTTTTTTTTTTTTATTATATTTTTCCTTTGTTCTTTAAATTGAGCAGTTCAGTGCACACATCGATTAACTTCAATAAAACAAAAAGTTGAAAAATACCATGAAATAATGTTGTATTATTTATTATTCAATGGCAACAAAAAATGTGGCCGTTTAATGGTATTGTTAATGTTTATTATTCAATAAAGTTATTATAAATATCAAAAGTTATGACTATGCCAAGTTTATTGACACTGAAATGAAAAATTTTTCAAAAAGTCGAGTTGTTAATCGATGTGTGCAATTGAACGGTTGAATTATTGAAATAAATTAAAAAAAAAACATTGTCAATCCTTTTTTCTTGAGTCACCCGTTACGTAATATATTTACCAAATAATTATACAATAGTACATTTATAAAAAAAAAAAAAAATATGAAAAAATATAAAATAAAATATTAGAATAAATGTCAAAACAACAACAAGGAATAAACGAATAAGAAATGAAACAAAAAAAAAGGAGGTTCGTTTAAATCGTTCGTTTAAAAACGGGTTAAAGGGTTGAAAAAAAAAAATAATAATAAAATTATTTGAAAAATAAAAATACGAAAGATAAATGGAATAAGTAGAAGTAGAAGTCAAATAGAAATAGAAATAGAAATTGTATTAGTGGTTAGTAAACAGTATTAGTAATAGTAGTAGTAGTATTAGAATACTAAAAACAATTTATAATAATATTGATATAATTAAAAATTATTCTTATTAATTATTTATAAAAAAAAAAAAAAAAAAAAAAAACTAAGAATTATTGAAATGACGAAAACGACGACGACGACGACGACGACGAAGACGACGACGACGACGACGAGGATGACGAAAAAAAAAATAAAATAAAATAAAATGAAAACAACGACGACGAAGAATACAACGAAGACGACGATGACGACGAAGTGTCTGAACACTTTTTCATTTTTTTTTTGTTTCATTTATTTATTTATTTAATTTTTTTATTTTTTTTTTTGTTTTTAAACAATAATGAGCAATAATTTTTCACAGCGAAAAATAAGGACTAGTCTTACTTACACATTGAAATATTAAAAGTGTATGCATACACGTGAAACACAGGTACATGCTTTTTCGAATATATAATATTATAGAACGAATCAAACAGAAATAGAGAAAAATGGAACCAAAAAATAAACAAAATAATAAAAAGAATAAGAAGAAGATGATGAAGTTAACAAATTAAACAAATAATAATAATAATAATAATAATAATAATAATAATAATAATAATAATAATGTTAATAATAATAAAAGAAACAGGACGTTTATTCTGATTTTTATTCGGCGTTGCTCTTTGACTTTTATTTTTTCTGTTTTTTTTTTTTAATTATTTTTTTTGTAATTTCAAACTGAACGTATAATATTGAATCTTTGATTAGTAAAAAAAATTAAAGAAAAAAAAAAAAAAGAAAAAAGAACAATTCTTTTATAAAAGGATTTTCCATAGGACAAATTTCATCATCGTTTTTTTTCCACGTCGTTTGATATTTTCATTTAAGACAATTAATTGCATTTGTTTTTTTTTTTTTTTCACGATTTTGTTGCATCATCGTACGACAATTTTTCCAATAATTCTTCTTTCTTATTTTTTTTTTTTTTTTCGGTATTTTAATTTACATGAAATAAATTCGAACATATTGACGAGAAGAAATGGAATGGAAAAAAAAAATTGAAGAACAGAATTGATTATTTAAATTGTTTCTTTTTTTCTTTTT